AATTTTATTTTTGGCATTGAAATCTGGGATAAGTACATATTGTCTATACCAAGATAGCTGCTTTACTCTGAAAGGAAACTCCAACTTAGGAAAGAGGGAACAGAGCAGGCATGGAATTTTAGAGCAAAAAGGCATTGTAGATCATCTGTTTCTACAAATAAAAATAGGGAAATGAGATTATAGCAAATCAGTGGCATTAAAACCATTCGACTGATTTAAGTCCATCATTTCTTCACTATTTCAAGACATTTTTTTGTGGGTCACTCCTTCATTTATCAGCCACTGGGCACCTGCTACATGCTAGTCACCGGCTCTGGAAGAGAAGTGTGAGAGGTATTGCTATTTTCTTCCTTCCCAACCACACTTCTAATCTTATGAGCAATGGCTTAGTGGAGACTGGCATATCACTTGGTGGGTTGCTTTTGGTATCTTGACCAAAAAAAAAAATAATATGAGTAAAGGATATTAAAATAACTGATTAGCATGTTGACTGTGGCTACAAAGCCCCTGCTTTTGTAGACTTTACTATTTCAGAGCAGGATTTAGAAGCAAACAGCAAAATGGGGCTGTGGAACAAGGAAAGCAGAGGAAGAATGAGAAGAGCCGTGTGATGGTGTTGGCAGAGTGGGAGGTGAGCTGGTGAACCTCGCCATGCAGATCCCGACAACTGTCCCACTCACCTTGCACTAGGAGCTGTAGCCCTTGGAGGCCCACAGGGGAAGTCACCTTGTAGTGTCCTTATTTACTGTGTACGTGGAGTGGAGTGTCGCTCAGTGCGTTATTCAATGAAGTAGTCAGCTATACTCTATGCTTAGATGTAGCTCTTTAAAATGACATCTGTATGTCATTGGCTTCTTATTTCTTTTTAAATTACAAGGATAGCAGTACAACAGTGTTGCCACAGAACATGTAGAAAAGAGAAAATATGCACTATTTGAATGCTACCACAGTTAGTGTGTATATTTTTGCATACATATTTTATACTAGAGGCCCGGTGTACGAATTTTGTGCACAGGTAGGATCTGTAGGCCTGGCTGGTGATCAATAGGGCCAATAGGGGCATTCTGGCTGCCCCTTGGTGATCAGTGCACATCATAGTGAGTGATCAAACTCCCAGTCTCCCTTTTGAACTCCCGAGGGGACATTCTACATATTAGTAGATGATTATATATATATATATAGATGATTGCAGTCGAAGTTTAATACTTAATTTTTACATGGATTCTGTACCCCAAGTATGTATTATACAGCTGTTATGTATCCAGTCAGCCCTGTAAATAATATTGGTAATAATGATGCCACAATATATTCATAGATGCTTACAATTTTCAAAAGCACCATCTCACATTTGACATTTGGTCCTCACAATTGCCCTGGGTAGTAGACAGGAATAGGTTATATGCATGTCTTACATAAGTGGGAGTTAAGAGATGTCCTACCAGAAGTTGTCAAACACATAAATAACAGTAACAGAATCAGAATACAGTTCCACTTGGCCATGCTGCTTCACCTTGTCAGGTATTGTGACTGTCCTAAAAAACGTTGCTGGTTTTATTGAAAAGAACAAACTCCAGTGAAAGTCAGTTCTGTCTAACCATGTACATGATAAACTGCTACATGAGTGACAAAGAAAATGTGCTGGGATAAGTAAACCTTGCAAGCAGCTTGGAATAAATGCCTCTGAGAGATATGAGGCTTGTACTGTGTGTAATTAAGAAGGAGATGGCTTGTCCAAGGTCAGCCAATTCCTAGCAAAAAAGCCACAGCTAAAGTCTGCCTCTCCTATCCCCTCTCACTTTGAATTTGAACTGGGCAGTGGTCGGTTCAAACAGAAAAGCCTAATGGTCAGATGATGATAAGACAGTTAAAAAGTTAAGTGTGATGATAATTGAACCCATGAAAAAAAATTCTGATAAAAGGGAAAAGAGAAGAAAAGATGGCGAGTGAACTTGGGCAAGTTAGAGTGTAAGAAGCAGAAAACTACCTCTCCATGTACGCTGGCCAGCAGAGGCAGTGAAAAAGCCAGTGAAGGCTAAAAAAATTAGGAAGAAAAAGACCAGGACGTCTTATGTAACAGAAGCAAGTGATGCAGATGGTTTAAGAGGTGCTGGTGTAAATGATGTCAAGTATCACATGGTAAGAAGGCTGTGAAAATACAGAAGTCACAGAAACTCTTTCAAAAGATAGTTTCATGGAGTGACTGATGAGAAAGCTGAGATTCCAAGTGATGAGGCAGTAGACAGAATGGGTAGACACAACATGTTCAAGAAGATTCACGGTAGAAAGCAAAATGCACCAAAGTTAAGGAGGCCCCCAAAATAATGAAATGAAGGGAATAATGAGGGGTTTTATAAAATCGGAAAACCATTATTCTTGATTCTTGCAGGCTTGAGTGGGTAGAGAGAGACAAAAACAAAACAACAACAAAATTCAATTCTAGCTCAGTAAGTTATTGAAAAAAGAAAGAGTTTTTCTAAAAGAATCATTTCTCACATTAAATGATAAGGACACTTTCCAGGAAAAATTTCTGACTTCAAGTTGCTAACTCTTCAAGGAAGTCTAAAAAAATGGCTATGTAATCTAGTTTCTAGTTATTGAAAACTTCTTCCAGCCCTTTAATGATTTCTTTAGTTGTCACAGAAATTACAGACAAAGGTAAGAGAGAAGACTTATTAGATAATCTTGTCCATTCTTCTTCCCAGTGCAGAGCTGTTGCCTATTATGCATTTCTAGTCTGGAGTGCTCCTCACTCTGTAAGTGAATGATGTTTTTACCACTTTCTTTAGAATACTATTTCATAATCCTATTGACCACATTGTAAGGAAACTCTTGATACCCCAACCCCAAAGTTCTTTCCCTCTGTGTATTTTCACACCATTAACAATTTGTTCTTAGGAACCTCCCTTACCTCCCAGGCCCTTCCACTCTTATCCATGTCCAGTTTTCAGTTTCTATGCATCTGGAACCTTTTCTCAAACATTTAGTAGATATATCATTCTTCAGGGCATATTAGATCTATTAGAAAATGATTTTAATGTGATAAATAAATAAAAATCTTCATAATTTTTTTATTTCTAATAATGAAACTTTCCCAGTCTCATGTTCTGTCCACTTTCTCAAGATTTGGGGTGGGAGGAAGTAATAAGGACAGTGAAGTTTTAAAGAAAGGGTCAAGCCTTGCTAACTCATGATCCAATGTCCCAGTAAAATGTGTTGCCTAAATACTAACTAGATAAGTTAGAACATCCTATGTAAAGAACATGAAACTCTTAAGATAGCACTTAAGAATCAAACCATGTTTATTCCAGAGTTAAATATGAAATATAAACTGGTTGTGTCATCTGATGTCCTTGAGAATGTGCTACCTTAGTGTTTACTATTATGGTGCATCTGTCCCTACTATGAGGGGTTTTGGCAACTGTCCATTTGAGGTTTTATCATGTGCTACCAGACATTTTTCTTCTCTAATGACCTTTTACTAGTATGTTCCACTGGCTCCAGACTTTCCTTAGCTCATTCCCCCAAACTTTCTGACCTCTGTCCTCATGGGCACATTCCAATAACCAGCCTCAGGCCCCAGTGGGTATCCTCTAGGCAACCAAAACCTTCCTTGTGACCTGTTACAGCACTGATTCCCCCGTCTTACCTATCTTCACCTTTCACTCAAACTTGATCACTCAGTCTTCAGCAGCTAAGTGTGACCTTTAGAGAAGCCTCAAACATGCTCAACAAACGTTGCTTTAGTAACTGCAATTTTTTACCTTCTTTCCTGGTAATTTATGATTGTCCCTGATTTACAAAGTACTAGATCATAAATTAAAGTCAGATCATAGATCTATTTTTATTGGCATGCACTGAGGGTTATTTTTTTCCTTCTCTTTCTTATTTGAATGCCTGCAGATGGGACTGTGTTCTTTATATGCTCAACATTTTCCCCAACAACCTTCTGTATTCTTTTACCTGGCCAATTTTGTTAATTTGTAGTAAGTAGCTAAATATCCTATAGCCAGTTCCAGTCCTGGTAACACCTGCCAAACCATTTGCCCAGACTTCCTAAGTTGTCCTTTGTTCCTACCTACCTATCCTGTGTCCTCTGGCAGATTCCCTACTATCTATTAGAATATTATCCTTTACTCTTTGCTCAATATACTAATTCCTCCTGAGACCTATGTATCAGAAAGAAATTTCCCTCCAACAGCATCAACTACCCTAATGATTCTACCGCCCCATATATGCAGGTCTTTGATAATTAAACTTGACTTTCTGTTAAATCACTCACCATTTTGAGTCCTAATACCAAGTCTGAAAAGATGAGGTAAATTTTTCTTTTCTGATTTTAAATAAAAAAAGGCTATAGAAAGAACTATAAATAGCCAAGCCTCAATATTGCATGTGTTATTGGTTTGTTGTACAATTCTTCATTTTTAGTTTCCAAATAAAAGAATTGCCCAACATTTTCTTTATCTACTGTTTGCAGTTGTGTATAAGGATATATTCCTACTCAACTTAAACACTCCTAACAACTCTATCTCACTTTCCCAACAGGCCCTGTTTACACATACACACACACACACACACACACACACACACACGCACACACACGCGCACACACACACTTTACTAGCATAGAATTATAAATCATCCTATGTATGTTTTTTTTTAGAAAGTTTGTCATATTTTAAATAAAACTTATTAAAGTAGCTACAGTCAAATATCAGTTTTGGTAACAGTTAAATCAGAACATGGACAAAAACCTAAGATAATTTGCACAAAATTGCCATTTTTTCAGAGAATTGCTTGGTTTTCTGGGAGCTATAGCCAGGAGCCTAAGTTTTAGAATTATTTTCTACCACTGGGCAAATAGAGCAATTACTTATAAAAAATTGATCTACAGTTATAAATGCAAGTGATGACCTCCTTTTTTAGAGTTTATGGAACCTGATGCTTTTATTGAAATGTACAGAATCTACATAAATATCTATTTTTATTTTATTTTATAGGAAATCAATGTGTTGACAGTCGCATTGGTCAACCAAGACCGAGAGAACAACATTGAGAAGAGAAGTCAAGGCTTAAAATCAGAGAAAGAAGCTCTACTAATTGGTAAGGATGTTCTGTTTTCCTCATCTGTTCTTTTAAATAGTTCTTAGGTAATTCAATATTTAAGCAATTCACCTATAACATGTTAACAATTTAAACAGCGTTGTCTTCTGGATAGAGGGGCGGTTTATTCATCAAGATTATATTACATACATTTCAAGTTAGAAATGTACAAATTAATGGGGGTTCTATTCCTTCTGTAACCATTTATATTAGTTGTGTGTCCAACATAAAACTGTATACAGGAAGACAGATTAATATGCATCCCACGTGTTATAAATCTGAATTTCAAAATTGGGACACATTGCTTCTAACTAGAAGCCAGGTTGTGTCCAGTCCAAAAGTACCAAACCAAGCCAGATTCCTCAAGAGAGGCCACGTCCTGAGGCCAGACCTATAATGCTGACGTGGGGGACAAACTAACTTTCCTCTGTCTGCAAGGCTCTTCTGGGTGGTCTAATAACCAAATAGACATGAGGCATATTAGCAAGAGAAATAATCAAATTTAATTCATACATGTGAATGGGAACCTTGCTTATGTGGGAGAGTCAGAGACCCCACATATAGAAGAGGTTGACATGGGAAGGGATTGAGGCTTATAAGACATCCTGAGCTAGGGATGTGGAAATATGCCTTGAGGGATTCAAAGGGTCATTGCAGAATGATAGAAAGAGCAGATGTTTAGTAAATAAAAGTTTGCCCTGCCATGAAGGCAGGTTGAAAGGTTATCCCTGAAAATCTCTTATGGGTAAGTCCTCCAATTCAAATTATTCTAGGCACGGAAGGGTTGGGGGCAGAGTTTCTTCAGAGCCTGTGGCCAAAATTGCCTTTAGCTCGAAACAATCTGCATAGCACAGAAGCACATCTTAAGGTGACTTTTGTCTGAAACTTCCTGGAAGTCTGACACTGCAGAAGTTGGGTTGCTAGATTGTTCTAGATGTCATTGAACCAGACTCAGAGTTGAGAAAAGCTCAGTTCAGGTAAACAGTTACCTCTCATTTCAGGAGGCAGTGATGTAAGTAAGCTCCCAAGGGTAAGCCTCTGGTGCAAGCAGTCAGATATTTAGTAAGAGGCCTCTCTATGGAAACAAAAGAAAAATAGAGTTTCATGTTTAGAGCAGACTATAATCTTATTTTCTGAGTCCTGAAGGAAAGGTGATCAGATTTCTGGTTGTCTGTTTCAAATCATCTTCATATGGCATGAGGGTAGGAGTGACAGTCTGATAGATTTCCCTGGTCTGAAGTTGGATTGTCTATGGTGACCTTTCTGTAGCAGGAACAAAGATTGTACATAGAAGAGTTGTGATTTCTCTGAAGTCTATGTCAACTTGTCCCACCTTAGCTTGCCTGGTCTTGACAAGCAGGCAGTTTTAGTCTACGATGATTCTGAGTCAATGGATGGGAAAATGAAGATGTTCATTTGGGGGACTGTAGCCAGATATTTAAGAAAAATATAAAAGTTTAGGACCTCGTTTAGATTATAGGTAGAAAAAAAATTTAACTGAAAAGACAATAAACAGCACTAGAAACTCATATCCACAGATGTATATTATAGTTCTATTGGAATAATTTTCTCTCTAAAATGACCCTCATTTTTTGTCAAAGATAACCAAATGGAAATGAATTTATTTGCAAAATAAGTCTAGTTTCAATAAACTTGGCCTGATTTAAGTCCACCAAGAATAGCAATCAACCACATAGACTCTTAAATTGGCTTTGCTGGACTTTTTTGGAAGGAATCTTCAGATTGAATTTTAAAGTCCTCTCAAAGCTAAGAAGCCAAGCTTCATACTAGCCATCAGACTTTGCCTATAATAACTCTAGGTTTGGGGTTAATTCCTTTCTTCTCAGGGTTCCCAAAATATCCTGAGTTTCTTTCTTGCATCTCCCAGCAAGCAACTTTCATTCCTTATCTGGAAAGACTATGGTGAATCACGGTTAGCAAGGTACCAGACTGTTTTTTTCAAGCTGGTACCTTTTTTTATTCACTGTTTTTATTGGCTTTCAAAGTCAATCTTAATTCCTTAAAGCTTTCTAGTCATATATGAGCTTAGGCATTTTTCTCTCAAATTTGGCATTCCAAACAAAGCCCCATAATATAGCTAGTTTCCAGTTGTGCCCTGTTATAAAGAGAACATATTCCTATTAAACATATGCAATATATATATCCATGAAAATAAAATTATTCAGTTATTGAGTTGGTAAAGTCTGGAGGGATCATTTAGAGAGAAAAAAAAATAACAAAGGGGTAAGCAGAAAAAAATTATTACCTGGAAAATAAGATTTTAAAAACTAGCAATATTTCAAATAAAATGTCTAAAATTATGACCCTTCTTATCTGTCCATTCCATCCTGTGTAATTAAATGTGGTTTGCCTGATTCTAGTTTTCGCATTAATTCTATCAACCTTTCCTGAAAATTGAAGGTGATACGGCCAGTGATAATTCCAAGAAGTTTTTTAGATTGTCCATCAGAGCTCATATGTTTTACTCTGTGAAGTGGGGTGCTCCACTCACTATAGATTTTGAAAGGTACACCCCAAGTGGGAAAACACATTTTCTAATTGTTTAATAGTTTATTTGCCACTGTGAGGACATACGCCTTGTGGCAAAGGAAAGCTTCAGCTCATCTAGGAAAACATTCACACAGTAAGAATATACTGTTAACCCAGATGAAGTGGCAATTGAACGAAGTCCAGCCCAAATGAACTACAGTGGATGAAGGAATGTAAAAACTGGAAAAAATGCAGGGAGCTGGGAAGAATCATGCAGCTGTCCTGGCTTTCCTGTAGCCCCAAGTATTCATGTCATTTCCAGTCACTGTTAACCCATCTTAATTTCTATGATGCAGGAGCAGAGTGTTGCCATGTTACAAGGACATTAGGATAGCAAAAGTCTGGCAATAAGAGGTCAAAAATATAATAGCCTTCATTCATGTGTGCCACAATCTGATACTGAGGTTCAGCTGTTTAGCATGTCCCTCAATTTTGATAATGAATATTTTGTGTCAGGACATTTCAGATTTTCAGCAATTTTACAAGTATTTTTAGAACATTTATAACATAAACTTATATAAATACAACATATAGAAGTCTCAATGTTATTTTTTTTTATTTGACAATGCTTCTCATGTAATTTCAACACACCAAAATAAGCCTAAATTGTTTAGCATTTCTCTTTGATAAGGAGAAAAAACAGGCTTTTTTGAAGTGTCCCAGGGGCCCTTCTGGAACACCTCAAAGTCATTCTTCAGTCAATACTCTTATTTATATTTTAAATTTGGGGAAGTTTGTCAAAATATATAAAGAGGTTTGGACATTTGACTAAATAGGATCATAAGTCATTATGAAGTGATACTTACTTATCCATTTGACCAAAGTGGCAATTAAAATTTTTGAAGAAATTTGCATAATTGTTAGCAAAACTTAGTAATTACTACTGAGGAGATTCAATTTTCTTAATAATCAAGGACCTGATTGAGACAAAAGAAACAAAAATTATTGTGATAAAGCACAGAATCGTGGCTTTGTGTTTTCATGGTATCAGCAGCAGACCAATAGTCCTTTTCCCAGAGAACCAGACTCTGATTTTGTATCACATTATTTGTGATATTTTAATTTATTTACTTGATTAAATTTCAATCTTATTCAGCTTCACCACACATAAAATTTCCTTTTTCAACATTCCTTTTTTATAAACTTTCTAAAACTTTCTGTGTCCCTTTTATACACACACATACATTCAGCAATAATCAGGACAAAATTCACTTCCCTTAACAAAAACACATCTTCATATCTCATACCATTTTCTAAAAGCCAAAACATAACACCATTTCTCTTGTATATAGTTCTTTTTCCTATTATTTTTAATTTCTGATGCCTTAATTACATATATCAGAATTCATAACCTTAAAAAATCTAATTTCTAGTGAAAACTAAGAAGTAAATAATTGTGTATTATCTGTCATACCAGTGTTTTTTTAAGTTTATACATTTATAAACACATTTAAAATTTTCTAAAAATATGTTTCCTCATAGCACACTTTTTAATGTGGCACAAGACATGACTGTTAATGGACCTGGCATTGGAGAAAAGCATGGGTGGTCTTTCCCTGTTACTAGTGGGAGTGTGGTTCTTGACGTGCTGCTGGAATAAGCTTTCTGGAGGCTCTTACAGGAGGATGAGATATGGTAGAAAGCTTTATTTTTTCAAAATTACATTCCTGCTAACTAAAGTTGATGCCCTTGCGGTGGCATGTCTATTCTACCCAATGACCTTTTCTCAGGCGTGACTAACAAAGAAGTACCTTCCTTATGTCACCCCAACTTTACGGGGTATGTGTCTATCTCCTCTCCATTGGATTCCTGGAATATGTAAAGTTGTAGTGTCCTGGCGAAGCTGCCCAAATGACATGCCTATAGTACTTGGTCTTCTCTTTGCTCCTTTTATGTTATTAATAATTAGGTAATTATAATGATATCAGACCCAAATATCTTTAGTTCCTCTATAATAAACAGAAAGTAGATAAATCTATGATCAGTATTAATGATTCATTATTCTATTTTATTTGGAAATGGTCTAGACCAGTGGTCTGCAAACTCATTAGTCAACAGAGCCAAATATCAACAGTACAACGATTGAAATTTCTTTTGAGAGCCAAATTTTTTAAACTTAAACTTCTTCTAATGCCACTTGTTCAAAATAGACATGTCCAGGCCTTAGTATTTTGTGGAAGGGCCACACTCAAGGGACTAAAGAGCTGCATGTGGCCAACCACGAGTCTAGACAGTCAATTAATATCCATCATTTAATTTAGCTAGCAAAACTTTATAGTTTCAGGTTACCAAAGAGATTTAGGAAACAACTTTTAACAATATAATTATTGCTGAAGAATTCACCTAAAAACCTTTTATGCTATTTACATTTATTTAATTTACTTGATCCTAACAATTAAGATTAGATTACTTGTAAAAACGTCATCAAACCAAGTTTTTTGCTGATAAAT